GTTCGCTCAAATATTAAGAGAATTTAAATAAAAAAAATTAAAATTTATTGAATAAATTTGAGTATAATTTTTAGATTCGTTTAAATTTTAAATTAAACCTTAACAAAAGAAATTAAAACCCAAGGTCAGCTTGAATAAATTTTATATAATTAAAAGATTATAATTATATAAGTGTATATATATATATATATATATATGAATTTTTAAAAAAATTTATTTTTTAAGGATTTTTTTATTATATAAATTAAATTTAATAGATGAATTTAAAATTTACTTTTTTAATTTGGACTAAATTTTAAAAAATATTAAAATTCAAAATATCAAGCTGAGTTGGATTTGAATAAATATATAAACTATTAATATTAATTATGAGCCTAACTCGAACTCGACTTGACTCATAAACACCTTTAATATATATTATAAATAATACTATATGCATTCCAATGAGTTCTCATTGCTCCATTTTTTTTTTATTAAAGCTTCATTTGATAGTGTAACGAGAATCGCTTTCAAAGTTTAATATCAAAACAACACTCCAACACGGTTATCAAATAGCATTTTTATATGAGGAAATACCAAAAGCTCCTTTTGATGGTCCATGGAAGACGACAATGCTCAATCTTTGTATATCCTTTAATTTTTCACTTGAAACTAATACTCTTCCAAAGTCTTAAAGCTAGCTAAAAGTGATCAATTAAATATGAATTATGCACATGGTGTTGGAGACTTGTCCTAATCAAGGGATCACTTCGTTTGCAGTGTTATGGGTGTTGCTATATGTCTTTGCAATAATGAAAAAAAAAAAAAAGAAGTTTGTACAAGCCTTTAAGATTTAGACACCTAAATTCTATTCGAATCCAGAGAAAGATTAATTCCTGCAGCTTTAGAGACAGATATGCTTAATTCGCAAAGGTTGTCTCTAAAAAGCATGGCTTATAAACATGTGTTCGGTTACAATGGTGCAAGCCATGCCTCTGGATGTGATTCATGTCCGAAGTTTGTTGAGGAAGAAAAGAAAATTGCTATCTTGTTTGTTCCATGATTTATGGACCAACTAATAGTATGATCACCGTAGACAGAAGTTATAGAATATATTTAATTATATTGTTATATACAATGTTTTATTACCCAAAAAAAAAAAAAAAATCTCTAGCTTAGCTTGATTTAGCCATTGGAAGCCATAAAAAAGAGGAAATAAAAAAACATGTCCAATTTTATTACCAGTTTTTTTTTTCCCTCAAGAAAATGAAAGCTTGTCTCCAATGACAACTCGAAGTCCATAACAGTATAAGCTGCATGCATGCATGCATGCGTGTGCGTGACTATAGAAAGTTTATTAATTAGGAAACAAGATATTGAGGGCTTGAATTTGGCCGATATTGTTTATAGGCCTGATTGTTCTGCATGGTTCTTGATTGTAATCGGTCATTGTTTCATATATATATTTATATTTATATATTCATCCACAAAGAGGAAAAAAGGTCATTAGTAAATCATATATCATGATAGACCTACCATCACAATAATGGGTTTTGATTAATATATTTGTATCGTATAAAATATTAAATTTTTTGTATTTGTGTAATGTTTATATAAAAATTATATATCACAATTCATATTGATATGAAAATATAAAATATATTTTTAAAATTTTATTTATTATATATAATTATTACTAAAATTTTAAATTATATTTTTTATATTTTTTTATCATACTCATATCGTGTTATCATATCATATTTTAAATTATTAAATATGTGAATTTTCAATGCCAAACCTTGACATATAAAAATATAAATCATGTCCGTTAAAAAATTTCCTTTGATCTTATTTCATTGTTTTTGCCAATCAATATTAATCACTTTTTTAGTTCTTTTTATGCCTAATATGGTGCTTTTTTAAACTTGTTTTTCATTTCAAGTCTCCAAAGAATTTCTAAGAAATTAAGTAAAAATAAAAATATCCCTTTTTTTTCTATTGCTAGAGAAAAATGAAGTCAAACTTTTTGCTTCGATTTGAATAATGTGTTTGCCTCTTTTATGTGGGCTAATGGAGCCCACTTGTTTCAAGGCTTGAGATGGGGCGGGCAACCTTTGCCCTTAACCAAAATATGCCGGCACGGTGTTTTGGGGCCCCCAAGTAGGGCCCATTTGAGCTATTTAAGCTTTTTGTGGGCCCTTTTAGACCGAATGAAACATAAATTGAAAAGAGTACTGAACCTTCAGGTTCGGACCCGAATCATGTGTTTAAATTTTGTTGAACGTTGGTTGGAGGGAAAAGAGGAAGATGCATTGGCCCATGGCTACGTTTTATTGTTTTCCTCCAAATTTTCCCCCTATTCCTATACTCCAAGAGCTCATAATGGGTAAACTATCGTGCACAAGGATTCTCGCACTGCGAGAGTTGAGGTTAAAGTTTATAGTACACAATATTTTCTTTGTATTTTTGCAAAATAATTTTTTTAAAAATTCGAACCTGTAATCTTTCGATCACAAAAAAATAATTTTACTATTACTCTAAGAGTTCAAAATGATAATAAAAAATTTTTATATCATGAAATTGAAAATTTGAATTCAACACTTTGAATAATACATACTTCTTCAATCATTTTTGAACCAGATCAATTTTAAATCAAATTTTGTGAGCACACTATTTTTTTTGGTATATAAAAAAAAAGAAACATCCAATGAACATATATAGTTAAAGTAGAGAAATGGGTAAGAATGTACTAAGCCAAAATCATGGTGATGGGTTGATATGCAGATATCATGTGCTCCTACTAGCTCTGTCCAAGAGGTGCTAACTGGTTTCCTACCCTCCTTTCAGGGAAAAAGTTTCAGTGGCACAAAAAATAAAGAGGTCTTCCTTTTCAATTTTCATGATTTTGCATTTGGTTTCATCTCTTTAGACCTAATATAGCTGCTAATTTTCTCTTCTCAGGTCCTACAAGCAGCTTCATTCCCTTATACATATCTTCAACTAGTTTGGTCTTGTCACTTTTAACATAATAAGTAATGCCATTTAAGTTTTGGGTGACGATTAATCCCCTAATAATAACTTTTAATTTGTATTTTGGGATCAAATTACTATAAATTTGATAATTCGTGTCATTATATTATGTAAAATATTATAATTGTATCGTATTTTATACGAAAATCGTTTATTACAATTGTGTTGATACGAAAATATAAAATATAATTTTTTTATTTTATTAAACTTATTTATGATTTTTTTAAAATTATAAGTTATGTTATCTCAGTATCATTTATTTATATGATATTATCATATTATATTTTAAATTTTCAAATTTAAATTATTATACACTTCATAAATTATAATACTCTCAAATTTCAATTATCTAAACTTATAATAGAAAATTTAAAATTTAAAGAGTAAAAGGTCTTGGAAATGGGGTATGATTGCTAAGCTAGGCATGGATGGGGTCCAAAAATAAAAAATAAAAATAAAAACTTTATAATTTGGGTTGTTGTTAATGAGTTCCTATATCATGTTTCAAAGAATATATGAAAGAAAAAACAATTTAAACTTTAAAGTAGTCATGTCTAAGATCAAGTTGAAAGTACAATGGGAGTAATAATAATCTTAGCTTTTCAAGATTTTGTTTATTTGTGTGTTTGATGTTTTAGTTTCTCTAATCATGCTCAAATGTTTTTGTCTTTACACATAAGCAAAGGGACATCCATTATATGTATGTTTAATTCTAAATGCTCTCTCACTTGACATAACTTGTCCTAAATTTATCTTAACTTCAATGTGTTATTTGAAATTTCATGGACAAAGATATGTTTGCAAGAATTACAGTTATACTTAAGTTTGGACAAAATTGTTTGATTGTGAACATTATTTCCAAATTAAATGCTCCTTTAATATATTTATGAATCTTTTTATTAATTGATTAAATTTTAAATTATTTGAGAATATTTAACCATAGGGACTATTAATCACAATTATTTATACTTTTACGTGTTATTTTTCAAACGTGAAAAGTAATAATATATTTAATGACAATTGCATAATCAAACTTCTATTATATTTTATATATTTTTAATTATTGAAATTTACATTCCAATCATTTGATTTATCCATGAGTGTTTACTTGTCTTTGTTTATTAAAAATAATTTGAATTTAAATTTGAATATTATTATTATTAAAAAGTATAAGAATCCAAAATTTATAAAATGAAATCTATGCCCTAAATTTTTTATGATACTTTCATTAATACTTTTGAGTAACCTAAGGGATTCGTTTAACTTAAAATTAAATATGATTAATTTAAAATATAATATAATAATACGATATAAATATGATATGAAAATGATATAATTTAAAATTTTAGTAATAATTATATATTAATTTAATAAAATAAAAATATAATTTTAATAATAATTATATATTTTTATATTGATACGAATTATAACATATAATTTTTATATAAAATATGATATAAATATATAAATTTTAATATTTTATATGATATAAATACAATAATCTTTGAAACCAAAATATAAACAAGTTTTAATAAACTAAAAATAAATACGAAAAAAAAAATGAAAAAAAAGAAGGGTTTAAAATTAGTCCCATCATTTTCTCACTCTAAAAAATATAAACCGTGAAGCTCTCTAATAAGCGAGAGGCTCGGAACCAGGTTTGGTGCATAGCTTTTCTCTTCAATATTAGAGAGAAACTGTGAGAAAAACAGAGAGAAACACCCTCCATAATTTCTCTCCTGTATTTCTCCAGATAGAGATTAAATCAAAATACAAAAAATAGAAAAAAAAAACAGAGAAAAACAGAATTTTTTCTCTGTTTTTATCGTCTGTTTCTTGACAGAGCTTTCCATCATAAGAAAAGAAAGAAAAAAAGATTTTAATTGTTTTTTGGGTTTTCAAGATTTGGGTTTTTGAAGGCAAATGTAAAGGAATTGAAATTTTTGATTAAAATTTGTAGATTTTTTTTTTTTTTATTCAGCGGCTGCTTTTGTTACAAAAATGGCAACAGAGTCGATTTTACAAGTCTCTGTAATATCAGTTTTGGAAGAAGTTCTTCAACAGCAAGGAACTCGAATTCGTGACATTAATTTGGCTTCAAGAAAAGCAGAGGAATCTTGTAATGATCTAACCTTTTGTTTTTTTTTTTTTCTCTTGTGCTCTGTTTTTGATTTGTCATCGGATTCTATTGAATGATCAATGGTTTCTCGTATGATCATTAGTTTTTAATCAATTTTAAGCTTCAGAATATATGAATTTATTGTTAAGAGATTAAAAATTGATATTTTTTTACTAAGTTTCATGAATGTTACGATAATGCATTTATATTTCAATGGACTTCAAGGACAAGGTTTGTAATTCGTTCAATTTCCATGATTTATTGAAGCTTCCTTTACTTGGTTGGTTCTTTCAATGCGCTTATATTCTATTGATTTCTGTAGCTTTGAGAAGATATGAAGCTGCACGGTGGCTGAGAAAAACGGTTGGTGTTGTTGGAGGTAAAGACTTGCCGGCTGAGCCTTCTGAAGAAGAATTCAGGCTCGGATTGCGAAGTGGCATAATCCTTTGCAACATTCTTAACAAGGTTCAACCTGGAGCTGTGCCAAAGGTATGTTCCAGCAACTATTTTCTGATAGGATTTCATTTGCTTGATTGATTTTCCTTTCAATTTTAGGTTGTAGAAGGAGCTTGTGATTCTGTTATTATTCCTGATGGGGCTGCTCTATCAGCATACCAATACTTTGAAAATGTGAGAAACTTTCTTGTAGCTATCGAGGAAATGGGGATTCCAACTTTTGAAGCCTCTGATTTGGAACAGGTTAAGTAGGAATGAAGCCATTTTCAATTTATCTTCTAGTCTAAATGAATGTGTAATTCAAATTTTCCTTTTCCAGGGTGGGAAATCTTCAAGGATTGTTAACTGTGTTCTAGCACTAAAGTCTTACAGTGAATGGAAAAAAAGTGGTGGAATTGGTTCATGGAAATATTCAGCAAATTCCAAACCCTCAAGCTTCGGGTCAGGGAAACACTTCGTACGAAAAAACAGTGAACCATTCATGAATTCCATTTCAAGGACTGTGTCATTGGGTGACAAGTCTGTGGATAGCTTGTGTAATGATAAACAGTCAGACCTCAGTGAAGCAGTCAGTGAGCCTTTTTTGCTTTGTTTTTTCATGTTCAAACTATTTTTTTCTATTAGGATTGGAATGAGAAACATCTAACAGCTAATTTTCGTTGTTATCTAAAGGCTTCCGTCCGTTCTTTGCAAATGCTAGTTCGTGCAGCTCTTTCAGATAAGAAGCAAGAAGAAATTCCAATGGTAAGTTCCTTCTCAACAAAAACATCTAAATCAAGAACATGTCTAACTTATAAGTTCCTTCTGGTTATAACAGATTGTGGAATCTGTGTTCAATAAAGTCTCGGAGGAGTTCGAGCGTCGCTTGGCAAGCCACAATGAACTGGTGAGTAGCTTTATTTAATTCTTCACAACTGTCAATTCTTTATCAATTTCAAACGATTGTTAGTTGATAAAGGCCATGTAAAACATGTATTGATGGTGTAATCTGTTTCTGATCTCAGTAAACCATTCATATGCATGGTTCCTTAATTCTCTTAGTAGCTTATTTTTGGTAATCTGACAGATTAGAGCTGCTACTGCAAAAAATATGGAAGAGTCTGTCCCTGATAATTCTCTTTCACGAACTCCTTCATGTGATGACAAGGTAGGCTAAATATTTTTTATTAGCCTTCACTTATTGCTTCACTTATAGTTGATAAAGGCCATGTAAAACATGTATTGATGGGGTAATCTGTTTCTGATCTCAGTAAACCATTCATATGCATGGTTCCTTAATTCTCTTAGTAGCTTATTTTTGGTAATCTGACAGATTAGAGCTGCTACTGCGAAAAATATGGAAGAGTCTGTCCCTGATAATTCTCTTTCACGAACTCCTTCATGTGATGACAAGGTAGGCTAAATATTTTTGATTAACTTTCACTTATTGCTTCACTTATAGTTGATAAAGGCCATGTAAAACATGTATTGATGGGGTAATCTATTTCTGATCTCAGTAAACCATTCATATGCATGGTTCCTTAATTCTCGTAGTAGCTTATTTTTGGTAATCTGACAGATTAGAGCTGCTACTGCAAAAAATATGGAAGAGTCTGTCCTTGATAATTCTCTTTCACGAACTACTTCATGTGATGACAAGGTAGGCTAAATATTTTTTATTAGCTTTCACTTATTGCTTCATGTGATTATCCATCAAACAATTTCATATCACTTAAATAATACAATGATGAAGGTTAAAGTAGAGGCCCCAGCTGAGGAAATTGTTGATGATCAATCATCAACAGAATCAGAGAAAATGGAACCTTATTATGGAAAGTCCAATAGTACTGATAAGGAATCAAAAAGACATCTTTTGAAACTGCAGATAATGGTTGAACAGAAACAACGAGATATTCTGGTAATTTGCAGTTAGCATTGATTCAAGTTATAAAATCCTTGTTGTCTACCATAAGGATGCAGCAGTTGATGTATTTGTAACTGTAGGAACTGAAGCATTGCCTTCATACCACAAAAGAGGGTATGCAATTTTTGCAAATGGCGTACCGTGAAGAATTTATCAGTCTAGGTACAAACTTAAAAACTCAACCCTTGATTGCTTTTGTGTTGTTCTTTAAAAGAAAATGTGATATTTCTCATTCTAGTTTCTCTTAATAGGTAAACACTTGCATAGTCTAGCTTATGCTGCTTCAGGATATCAGAGAGTTCTTGAAGAAAACCGCAAGTTATACAATCAAGTGCAGGACCTGAAAGGTAACAGTCATGACAGTTCAGAAGTTTGATTGGGTGCACAGATTATGTATCAGTATCACACATTCAAATCAAATCTCAATTGTATTTGTTGATGAACTATGTTCTAGGGAATATAAGAGTATACTGCCGGGTAAGGCCATTCTTGAGCGGGCAATCGAACAGTTTGAGTTCTGCAGACCACATAGATGACACAACTATCACAATCCTCACCCCTTCAAAATATGGAAAGGAGGGAAGGAAATCATTTACCTTTAACAAAATTTTTAGTCCTTCTGTAACCCAAGGTCAGTGATTCCAACGAAGTTTTTTTCTATATGATTCTATCTATCTTACTTTGTTCAGTTTGTTAGCATGAATTCTCTTTCCCTACAGCTGAGGTTTTCTCCGATACTCAACCTTTGATTCGGTCTGTGCTTGATGGTTATAATGTTTGTATATTTGCTTATGGCCAAACAGGATCAGGGAAAACTTATACCATGGTAAGAATTACAGCACTTTGTCCTCGCAGTGATAATGCTAATAAGTTGGTTAATAAAGCCTTGTCTTCTTTTAATTTTTTTCTTCATTAACATACTATAATCAGTAAGATAAGTTATGCAATTCATCTCATTTATGAATCCAGACCGGGCCTAAGAAGCTCACCGAGGAAGATTTAGGCGTAAACTACAGGGCATTGAGTGATCTATTTCTTCTCTCCAACCAGAGGAAAGAAACCATTTCCTATGATATTTCTGTGCAAATGCTTGAAATTTACAATGAGCAAGTCAGGGATCTCCTTTCTGCTGAGGGTCTAAATAAAAGATATCCTTTATAACAGACTTATATATGTTTCTCTGTAATGTTCTATCTTGTTTATTGTGCCTCATACACCTTTTTGTGTTCTCTAACTCCTACATACATTAGAAATTCGTAACAGCTCTCAAAATGGGATTAATGTACCTGATGCAAACCTTGTACGTGTATCATCAACATTTGATGTCATAAATTTGATGAACCTTGGGCAAAAAAATCGCGCAGTTAGTGCTACAGCCATGAATGACCGGAGTAGTCGATCTCACAGGTCCAGTATAATGTTCTGGTTTTAATATCACAAGATGGATTTCATTTCTAGTTATGCTCAAGAACATGCTAAGTCTCTAATGCGGTATTTCAATACAGCTGCTTGACAGTTCACGTTCAAGGAAAAGACATCACTTCAGGAAACATTCTTCGCGGCTCTTTGCACCTGGTTGACCTAGCAGGAAGTGAAAGGGTAGATAAATCTGAGGTGACAGGGGATAGGTTAAAAGAGGCACAACACATCAACAAATCTCTTTCTGCTTTAGGAGATGTAATCTCTTCTCTTGCTTCAAAAAACTCACATGTTCCCTATAGAAACAGTAAACTTACTCAGTTGCTCCAAGATTCACTTGGTAAGATTATCTGAAACCCTCCAACCTAAAAAGGTACTGTTTTCTTTTCATTATCCAATGCATTCTTCTTTGCTGATCATGTTATTGGTCTCATCTGTCAGGAGGACAAGCCAAAACACTCATGTTTGTTCACATTGCTCCAGAGTTTGAAGCTCTTGGAGAAACAATTAGTACACTTAAATTTGCAGAAAGGGTTGCCACAATTGAGCTTGGTGCTGCTAAAGTGAACAAAGATAGTGGAGAAGTGAAAGAGCTTAAAGAACAGGTTTCTTCATGTGCCCTTGGTTCTTTCCTTCTGCATTTATTTTGTAAACATTGTTTCACTTGTTTACCTCTTTTCAACTGTTTTCAGATAGCTAGTCTTAAAGCAGCCTTAGCGAGAAAGGAAGGAGAGCCCGAGCAGCTGCAATGTACGCAATCCATGTCCGGTAGCTTAGAAATAAATAGATCGAAGCATGGATCATCCTCTTCTCTTCCTAAATGGCATAGTTTCAGTGAGCTATCTAGCAACCATGCTAACACTGAGGTATAATTTAAGTGCCAAAAGCTATCATCTCAAAAAATTGTTGATTAGCTTTTAGAACCAATAATCATCTACCTAAACTGACAAGACTATTTTGAAACATGGTTTCTTAAAATCCTTAAAACCGATTTCATGTGATTAATGAAGAAACCATCTTTCAGAGATGAAAAATCTGTTAATTTTTCCGTTTGTGTATCTCCAATGTTGGAACTAATGATAATATTTGCCTAACATGATGTTCTTGCCTGCTGATTCAGAATGAATCATCATCCACATCAAGGAGAGATAGTTTGGAAATCCAAGAAATGTTAACCAATCCATCTCTATGGCCACCTCTTGGCAGTGCTGCTTCAAGTGCAAAGGAGGAGGATAGAGATTCAGCTTCTGGTGAGTGGGTTGATAAAGTCATGGTGAACAAGCATGACAACACAAGGAAGGATCAAAATCCGTCAGCAAGCAGGGAAGTAGGCAATGAACAATTGCCTGAGAAGTTCTTTCACAGTTATATTCGTGGTCCTACGAAGATATATCCAGAACAAAACTTTAATAAATTGAGTGCAAACAAGAAGGGCAACCATGACTATGATCAGCAACGAATTCGGTCTGAAGGTGGCTCTACTGATGACTCTGATCATGAAGCTGCAACTAGTGATTGTTCTGAGACAGACTCAGTTTGGCAATCCAATATTCCTAAAATTACCAATGTTCCAAACGGGTTGGCATCTAAATCAAAGAAACAGCAAACCAAGACCGTAAAGAGCACAGACTTTAAGTAAGCTGCCTTATCACTAATATTTAGATGTGCACATTTCTATGCCCATGCAATAATAATTTTAGTTTAGAATACACTTCCATGCCAGAAATGGATTGCCATTTATGCAAACTTCAGTTTATTTCTAATGCCTTAGACCTTGATTATCTTTTCTTTTTTTGTTCTTGGTTTGCAACCAGGAGTTCGATTCCATCGCTAATTCCTTCACCATCAACCCGGAAGTCATCTAATGGAGTTAATCCAAATATGCACAAGGGAAAGAGGAAAACTGGATCTACAAAGTGATTAAACTGAAGTGTTAAAGGAACTGTCATCTTCATTTTTTTCTTCTTTTTGTGACTTTCTATCCCTTTTCTTGCTCTTTTTCTGGTGTATCTATCACTTTGTTGGATTGAAAGGGAGAGGTTCACATATATAAAGTGGCAACAATTTTTGGTTGCTTGTATTTGGTGGTGGTAATCATAACCCCTATGATGACCAACCTTCTTGATTTGATTTGCTCGCATGGGTGTTGATTTTGGGAATTCTCAGCTTTTCTTCCCCCTTTCCCATCAATTGTTCTTTCTTCTTATAGCATTAAGAACAGAAAGGAGGAATTGTATTATATGGAGTACATCTTTTCTTTTCTTTTCCTTTTTTTTTTTTGGCATCTTATGTAGAGACATTTGGGATAAACATTGAAGGTTGAAGCCAGGAATGAGATGGTGATGAACTGACCTGAACTGATGCTATCTATGACTATAAATGAATGATCTACAACTAGAAAGAGTTGCATTGACACCCAGGGGCAGGAGCAGGAGTGATTTTAGCCACAATCGAAGCACAACAATCATCCACTTGCGTGTTGATGCATGCCACCTATCCTTTCAAATGAGTGGCTAACCTTATGTAGCTCCCACAAACACATGGCCACCTCAGCAAATGCCTTGAATGTTTTTTCTTCCACTAAATAAATTCCATTAAAAGAGACAGACAACCACCCCCCACAAAGTTTGAGTTGCCCTCTGCTAAGAATTAAGATTGTGCCTTGTTTTGTGCCCCATTTCAAATCAACTTGCCCTTTGTCCTTCACAAGTTGAATTCCATTCCTAATCCTCATATTGTTCTTCTGTCTTGCTGGAATTATCATCCCAACTTTAACTTAAAGAAACAGAGTAAAAGGCATAAAAAACATCAAGCAATTGGTGAGAGGCAACTTGCAATTTCCACTTGTTGAACCATATGGTTACAAAATATAATGAAAAACAAGAAGCAAAAGTGATTAGAAACATGCAAATGCAATCATCAATACTTCTGACTTTGAATAAATCTTCACTTTATTTGATATATTTAGGTACCTTGAATAAATCTGAATAAACAAAATGTTGGATTTGGAACTAATCCAACATAGTATTTCTGAAAGAACAAAAGTAACAGAACAAACATAAATGTCTTGTTTGGCCTGATTGCATGTTTCATTGCTTTCATCTGGCATCCTCTGCCAATCAAAGTTCTCCTAAATAAACAATCCCTGGCTTAGTATTTGCTAATCTCAACCCCCACCTAAACAACTAGTAGCTTTCTCCCAACCCCACCATATTTTATGCCAGCCAAAAAACAGCAAATTTCCATTATTATTTTTTTATATGAAGAGAAAACAAATCTTTGAGGATGAATTAACAAAGAAGTCAAATCCCAATTTCCTTTTAGACCAAGAAAATTTGACAGATAGATTTTCTTTCATAATATAGCCAGATAGATTATTCCTTTGTAAGATTAAAACAAAAACCAAATCAAAAGTCAAAAACTACTTTCTTCTTTTTTTTTTTTTAATACCTACCATCTAACCTTTTATAATAATTCACATAATTAATAAGTTCCAAAAAAAAAGGATAAATGAATAGTTACTGTTAGTTAGTATCCAAAAGTAAAATGAAAATTTTCTTTCTTAATATAAGCTAATATAAATCAATTAATACACGAAGGTATTTTGATCATTTTGATTTAATTAACGTATTAAATTAACTTAAATTTTTGGAATTCACTTCAATTTGATCATCTTAATAACCTAAAAATTAATGTCTTAAGATATTGATTTATCGTATCTTGAATGAATAATTAACTGTTAATTCAACTTAAATTTATGAAGTCAACTTTAGTTCCTTAAGATTAATATTGGATAGTTTAGGTTCAAAACTCTCTGTCACACAAATATAAACAATGGTATTCAAATATTTTTAATCCATCTTAAAATTTAAAAGCCTTAAACCTTTATTCCATTCATTTTTTCTTTTTAATTTTTAATTAATTTTTTATTTGAATATCAAGATATGAACGTTAAAAACATTCTCGACCTTTATCATTAATCACTCTTTTCAAAATTTTTTCCCTTTTCAGGTTTTGTCTTCGGACCCAAACCATTACCATAAATATAAAATCACATTTTATGAAAATAATTTAAAAGTAAAAAAATAGTTAATTTGATATTTTAAACTCTAGGGAAGAAATGCTCAAAAAAGGACAGTCCTCCACAAGATAGGTTTTTTCAAGAAAATTTGATAAAAGTGAATTGGTAATTTGAAAAACATATATGTAATCAATTTAATTGATTTGGGATTAAAACTTTGGTAAGTCCACTTTAGCAATAAAATAAATGAAAAAAAATGTAAAATTAAGTGCATAATTTCTTTAAATATGTTAAATTATATGGGCATATTGGGATTATCACACTAAACAGTGGCTACGAAAAAAAGACAAATCCTCAAATTTTATTTTTTCAAAAAAAAAAAGTAATTAATTTATTACAAGGGTTTGTTTTGTCATTTCAAAAATAATTCTGTTTCATAATCCTTTTCATATTATTACAATTTAGGACATAAATATCATTATCAAAGTTTTTTGTCCAAATATAGGCAACTGAAACCAGCATTTTTTTGTCTCTCTAGATTTCTCTTCCAATAAAATCACTGTGAACTCTCTCTCTCTAGGGGTTTTCAGCTTTCGATTTTTTGCAACCCAGAAAAAATACAAAAACGAGAATGCTTTTTATACATGCAGAGAAATGAAGAGACACCCAATGTATGGCCATATCTGCTCGATCTGAGGTTTCACTCTTTTCATCTTTCAACCGAGAGTTTTTTTTGGGTTTCTCAAAGTTCACTTTTTTTTTTTGGGGGGGGGGGGGTTGGCTGTTCAATTTTTAGCTTTATTTCTGTTCAATTTTGGATCTTGAACTGAATTTTGGGTTTGTAAGTAAATGTTTGAAAATGGGTTGGTTTAGATTTTTCTGAATATTTTTTAGATTGATGGGTCGAAAGTGACATTTTTTAGGTTAATTTTTTAATGGATAAAAATTTAGTTTAGGATGATAAGTTTTGTACATTGTCTTTGTTTGATTCATTTATTTCTTTATCAGTCTCATTGCTTTTTGGGGATTGGTGTTAGTTTAATAAAAGTGAGTTTATATGTGGAAATTTTCAGATCAGTTTCTGGGGATTTGTGTTTTAATGTTGTGAATTGAAGTAGTGAAATGTGTAAGGGAAATTTTTGGTTAATTGGTTTTGTTGGATTGAGTTTTTTGCATGGGAGCTTTAGGAGATGTTAAAGGCTTGAGACTATCGTGTATACATCTTTTTAAGGTTTGATCCTTTTGGGGTTGTATGTTATCTCATATGATATATAATGATGAAATAATTTTGGGATTTTCTACATCAGTTTGATTCATTTTTAGCTTCTTTCCACGGATTGAGTGGTAAAAATGTGTTCTAAAGGTTTATGATGAGGTGTATAGCATGTGAACGCTTTTTGATTTAATTGTTTTTCTGTTGCTACCTAAGTTTTAACTCAAGTCTTCTAGGTTTTATGCATGTGCCTTGAACATTTTCCTTACCTTTGAATGTGTTGAGGCTAAATAGTTTCATTTGGATTGCTAGGGCTTGAGCATTGGTGTTTTGGAAATGTTGAGACCTAAACTAATATGAGCCAGGCTGAAGTATCGAGAATGAAGCCACCTCTTGTTCCACTTGCGACCTTGATTGGTCGTGAGCTAAGGAATGAGAAAGTTGAGAAGCCTTTTGTGAAGTTTGGACAGGCTGCTTTGGCCAAAAAAGGAGAAGATTACTTTCTGGTTAAACCGGATTGTCAGAGGGTTCCTGGGAATCCAGCAACATCTTTTTCAGTATTTGCGGTACTCTCTTCCTCCTTCTGCCCGCCTGTTCCCCCCCCCCCCCCCTCAAACATGAAGGATATTGGCTTATCAGCTTTTAAATAGCACCTAATTGATTCCTCTTTTTTGGTTATGAAGAAATGAAGAACGAACAAAAAAAGAAGTTGAACTGTAATGTGGGGAAAAAAAGAGATTTACTGAGTTGAGTTCTAGTCCTTTAATTTGTCCACATGAAAATGAGAAGCAAAGCCTTATGATTCTTTGTTTCTCCCTTACTGATCAATTTGAGCATGGTAAATATGACATTACTTTTGATGCTTGTAGAGATTCTTAATATTGTTTTTATTGGCAGATTTTTGATGGGCATAATGGTATATCAGCTGCCATTTTTGCGAAGGAGCACTTATTGGCTAATGTCTTGAGTGCAATTCCGCAAGGCATCAGTAGGGAGGAGTGGCTTCAGGCCCTTCCTCGGGCTCTGGTTGCTGGTTTTGTGAAAACAGACATTGAATTTCAGCAGAGAGGCATGCATTCATTTCTATTTCATCACATTTGTTTCCTCTCGGTCAAATTCTGTTGCTTGCTTATCTGTGTAGTCATTTTCATTGATGACAGGGGAAACTTCTGGGACAACAGTTACATTTGTTGTAATTGATGGATGGACTGTCACTGTTGCATCTGTTGGTGATTCCCGATGCATATTGGACACCCAAGGGGGTGTAGTTTCTCTCTTGACTGTAGATCACAGGCTAGAAGAGAATGCAGAAGAAAGGGAGCGTGTCACTGCTAGTGGGGGTGAAGTAGGAAGACTTAATGTTTTCGGGGGTAATGAGGTATTCTACTCTTACAACACAAGAAGTTTCTCTCCTTCGTCGTTTTAGGGTGGGGGAATTAGAGGTGGTGGAATGGGTTGTTTGTGAAGGTTATGAATGTTTATAACTAATCTTTATGGATTGAATCTGTGTAGGTTGGTCCCCTCCGTTGCTGGCCAGGTGGATTATGCCTCTCTAGGTCAATTGGTGACACAGATGTTGGAGAGTTTATTGTCCCAATACCGCATGTTAAGCAAGTGAAGGTTACGTCTTCATTTCTTATTGCTGATGCATTTATTTTTTTTTTCTGAGCATTCAGACCTTGAAACTTCATTGTTGTTTTTACTTAGTTGTCAAATGCTGGAGGACGACTTATTATTGCTTCAGATGGTATTTGGGATACTTTGTCTTCAGACATGGCTGCCAAGTCATGTCGGGGTTTACCAGCAGACCTTGCGGCAAAGCTGGTTGTCAAGGTGATATCCAAGCTGGCATCTTCTCCTTATATTATCCACTCAATTTGCCTTGATATTAATTCTTGGATTTAACAATTCTTTTAGGAAGCTTTGAGGTCAAGGGGCCTGAAGGATGATACAACCTGCCTGGTTGTTGATATTATTCCTTCTGACCAGCCTGTCCTACCTCCGACACCAAGGAAGAAGCAGAACGTGCTCAGTTCTTTTCTTTTTGGGAAGAGATCTGAAAATTCTATAAACAAGACTACAAATAAACTTTCTGCCGTTGGAGTTGTGGAGGAGCTATTTGAAGAGGGTTCTGCCATGCTTGCTGAAAGGTTCAATAATTAGAACTTTCCTTTGTCCTTCTAATTTGTTTTTTATTTTGCTCTTTGCTATATAATATGCATGTGGGATGGAAATGCCTCCGGGAAAGAATATGAATGATCTTAAAATAAAGTAGCAGACTGTACTAAAAAAATTGTCAGAAGTTGCTAATTAATTTCCCCAATCTTTTTTACAACTGTGCTGGTTGAATGTGGATAAATATAATTCATAAATAGATTTTACATTTGACATGTTACTCACAAGTCACAATCAATCAGTCAAGTTTCACCTAGTTTCATGTCAAATTTGCACCTAAATGCCTGGTTTCCAGGCAAAAGAAGCAGTAATTATTTGCAAGATGGCACTTTACTTGAGTTGTTCGGATAGATGTCTTATTGTGGGGCAAGGATTATGGAGGTTATCAGCCTCATTTTTTTTTGTCCAACAAAAGAAATAGACCTGTCTCTAATCCCACTGATTTTTATAACAAAAATTGCAGGTTGGGTAAGGATTTCCCCATGAATGCAAACTCCGGAATCTTCAAATGTGCAGTCTGTCAAGTTGATCAACCTCCAGCTGAGGGTTTAACTGTGAACTCTGGGCCTTTCTTCTCACCTGCTTCAAAGCCCTGGGAAGGGCCGTTTCTCTGCACTAACTGTCGGAAAAAGAAAGATGCCATGGAAGGAAAAAGGCCAAGCAGACCCACGGTGATCACATAACATCCTATTCTGTAACAAAGTGAAAATGACGTATTTTTTTTCCCGGCAGTGTGAACATGCTTGGTTTCCCGTTACCTGGTGATTGCAATAGATGTGTGCAAGAATGGAGGTAGAGATAGAGTAGGCGTTTTGCCAATATTGTTTGGGAGTTTACGTTTGTGCTCGGCTGTTTTACTGACCAACTCAGGACAAAGATGCTATCTGATAGATATTTGTGATAGTTTGATTGCTAACCGCTTGAATTTGTAATTAAAAGTGAAGATTGCGTAGTAATATATCTGTTCCAGCTGCCTTTCTGCATTAGCAAGGGCATCTTCTCAACTCCCTAGCCAGATTCTCTTGGCTGTTACCTACATATTTCAATAATGCAGTGTTACTTGTGCGGTTGTTCAAAACCTTGTAGTCACGATGGTGAAATTTGCTGTTCACTTCAGGAAATTCTGACCCACAACTGGGCAAGATGTCGAGAATTTTTTAGAGACACGGTTCCTGATTAAGTGCCAAATAACTCGGAGATGTTGGAAACAAGGTTAATACAATGGACTATTTCTACTGTAAAACTAAGGGAGAGTTTTAAGAAAAAAAAAAAAAAAGAGAAGGAGAAAGGAAAAATCAGCAAAAGGCAGGCATTTCATTTCAAGGGTTCACGGTGGTTTCTGCACCTCACACATTTATGCTCGGTAATTAAAGGAAATTGGGCCACTAAAATATTTCGTTTCATAGCTTCATGGGGCTTTCTAGGCCTTAACAGCCTGCTAAAATGAGCTTCAATTTTTAGGTAAACAATCTAACCTGGGCCTAGGGAAGCCCAGTTCCTAAGCAACTTCAGCTTTCCCAGGCCTTAGCACTGGCTTAAAGTTGAGAAAGTAAAACCATGCTCCACTTCATTCATTTGGCTGATGTTTTCACAAAACTACGGAAGGAGTCTAACATGGAAATTTATTCAGTGATATTACAATGAAAACCAAGCAACCAAAGATACAGCATAACAAGCAGAGTTGAACAGCTACGTACGACAGAAAGTTAACATTATTCCAGGAACCAGGATGCATGACATAACTTGTCGAAGAAAGTACTAACTTAAAATATTCAGAATGGAGGCAACCATTGCAGCTCAATGCCGAAGTTCCAAAATTCAATGGGATCATCAGGCTGTTTATCAACCACAGAAGTATAAGCAGTGCAGCCTCCAAGCCTGACCCTGATCCTATGTGAGGTCATGGATGCATCTTTCAAGAAATGGCAGCAAAGTGTTCCCTTGCAGCCATATCCCTCCTTGACATCCACAAACTGCCTACAGAAGCTGCTTGAAGAGCAATTCAATGGGGATAAAAGAATGTTATCAGAGCAGTTAAACAACATGACAGTGTTACGAGTGGATATGTTGAAGGGTAAGTTCTCATCGAGTTGTAAACCCCCTACACCAAGATCAGTAGAATAACAAGTGTTTTCCTGTATCAGGGGTGGGCTTATAACAAGCCTATTAGTCCAGGGATTAATGCTGAGAATCTTATAGTAAAACCCTGGAGCTGACATGAACTCCAGGACTGTACCATTGTTACAGTAGATTCTGTACCTGGGATCTCCACAGTTTTCATCAGTGCTAAGTGGATATGGAACTCTTATTTTACCACATTTGGGACAAACACGGAAGGCTGACACTTGGGTTGCTAAAATAAACAAGAAAACTATCACAGACGCCATTTTTTCAGTAGTTTTGACCGCTTAGAAACCAGGGAAATAACTATTGAAACCAAATTTAAGCGGGGAAAGCCTGAGAACTGGATGCTTATTTATATACACAATGTTGCTTGGATTACTCACCAAAAGGAGAACATGAAAACAAAACAAAAAAAGGTGCATCCTTTTTCAGTGCATTATCAACCAATTGGAGGTCGAAACTTGTCCATATCTACTATATTTAGAAGACTTTTATAGAGGAAATTGAATAGTAAGCATACATACATTTATAAAGCTAGTGTGACCCCCATGAACTTTGAAGCTGATTAGCTAAGAATGTTTAGAGTCAAGCAACATCAATGGAATTAAATCTGGATTTGATGCTTGGTGTCATGCAACCACTCAGTGATCAGCATATATAAAGAATGTAATAATAGCTTCTGCTTATAACCGCATACCGAAAGGTAAAGAGAGAGAATGTGCTGGCAAGGATTAATTTGTGGGGTAATTGATGACAAGTGTCCAACGGAATTATATTATAAATAAATAATTGGCAGAGTCTGATCCCACTTTACTTGTTTTGGTATTTATATGGGGGCATCCGGGCATTTGCCCTTTGAGGGAGTGGGTGTGTCGATTTAATAATGGAAATCTTTGGATTGATAAGAAGGGGATTAGGACAAATTACAAACACTACTAGTAGTAATAATATCCTGAGACCACTAACCATATTTCAAAACCAAGGATTATAAATACTTTTGATTTTTTTTTGTGTGGATATTAATTATTTACATTTTGAATGCTTTTCTGTACAAATATAAAAACAATGTCAATGCATTCATGGTTTGGACTCTTAGGAAAAAATAAAGAAAGAAACCAAAGAGGAAAGGAGGAATGGAAAATTTTTAAGCTTTAATCTAAGCCAATCAAAGGACAGAGGGAGCACTATACAATGGTGAGAAAGGCAAATCGATAATCCAAGGAAACCAAGTATTGCATCATTATAGGTGTCATTCAACATTATTTCCATTTGAAAAGTTATTTAAAATAGTACTAAGTACTGCATTTATATTAACAAAAGCACATCTTTGCCAACCTAGCCACTCAAATTATGAACCCTTCCAATAATGGTATAAATACATAAAGTGAAACGGGGATTTATAGCATAAAAAACCACAATTGACGAGACAGAATTAGTGAAAATAATTTTTTAAAATATATTAAAATTAAGATTTCAATATTTTATCAACAAATCACATCGTTATTGCTCAAAGATATCTATTAGATCTTGATATTGATGCAATCAATCATGTTGCTTAAGCTAACGTTCCTGCAATGAAATTGAATATTGACCTCGTTAATACTATCATAAAGCAATTCACATTCTTAATTCTTAAAACTTGCCGCCTCCCATGATGGAGAGAAAGGTGGGGCAGCAAAGAAAGGCAAAATGATCATATTTATCCGCCAATCAGAAGGTTTTAAACAAAAAAGCAGTATAATGACCAAGTGATTCATAGAAACTACGAGAACCAAGCATTAATTCTGTCTTGGCACAGTTAGCAGAAAGCCTAAAATAATTGAAGTCTTCTTCTTCTTTCTATACAAAGTTAAAAGCTTCAGCTGCTCCAACTTTCGGTGAAAACATTCCTAGAATATGCCCCTAGATACCAAACTACAGCAATCCCTCTCCTGCCACAAAAAAGTCAGGCAAAAGATTCAAGATACAGAAGGGCAAGCTAACTAAGATGGTGACCTGTGAAGTCCTTTGATAGTAGTTCCAAGAACTTAGGATCAAAAGACCACCTTGTGCAAGGATGATGGGATTACAGGGTTACAGGAAGGGATTGGGCTTTCCACTTGTACGGAAAATTCAATCAAAATTTGAAAGTACGTCAGTAGCACATGGCTGGTATACCATTAGTCACATCTCACAAATGTTAGAAAGGGAGGAAACCTTACGCAGGTCACCAAAGGATATATTGCTGAGACCTTCACCAGTCTTTATAAAGCGTATTCTTCCTGCAAGGGGTAAATTACAGGGTAAAAATGTTACAACGTTGGCAATGCACCATGTCCATGCCTATAAAAGGCGATGAACTCCTCAGAATAACTATCTAATCTTCCACTCAAAAGCCAAAACTTATCTATGCAGCAGAAACTAACGCAAAACATAACTAAACTTTCAGCAGTTAATAAACAAAATTCACACTGAACATGTCTCAATGGTTTACATGACTAGATATTCCTCAGCCTAGTAGCAATACAAAAAGTAGTAATCGATCAAGACGAGGAAAAAAACATAATGCAACTCAACCAAGCCTAAAAAGTCCTCATCAAATAATATGCTCAAGTTGTCATGTGTCACCGACAACCATAAATAATTTGGTACAAAATTTGCATTTCAGCACACCCCTTGAAGATCACAAGTTGGATCAACCACGTTGTTGGTTCCTGACTCTTGAAGGACGCCAGGGTTCTGCCTTGCTGCTGCTGCCAGCACCACCCAAACGATCAGAATCTGAAGCAAGGGCCCTGCTACCACCACTGCCTAAACGATCAGAATCCTGAGTTGGAACTCTGCCGCCACTAGTCCAGCGATCAGATTGCAGTGGAGTGGCCCTGCTGCCAGCAGGCCGTCGATCAGATTCTGACGGTGCAGGCCTGGTCCAGCGATCAGGTTCTGAAGGTGGAGCCGGACCAGAGCTTTCCGGTCTTTCTCGCCGGAACCTAGGAACATATTTCCCAGAAGATGGAGCTGAAGCAGCAACTCCAGACTCTGTGCAGGACCCAGCGGGAAGCTCAGAAGGCCTAGAAAGCCCCTCTGTTGACCTTCCCAAGAGAGCTTCTCGCCTCAGCCTCTCTTTCTCTTCCAATTCTCTTTCCCTTTGCCTCTGTTTTTCAGCAATCTCATCCATTTTTGCTTTGTATTCAGCTTCTTCTTTCCTTTGTCTCTCAGCCTCTGCAAGTTTTAAAGTGCCAATAAATAAAATAGATGAAAGCAGAAATGATAGCTTCGTAATTATCCACAGACACTTAACAAATATCCTCTATTAAGAGGATCATTTTAAAAGGAAAGATATCTAAAGAATAACTGAAAATAACAACTGAAATGAATTTTAACAAACAAAATACTTAAATCTCACCGAAGTCGATAGGAGGTGAGACAGAATTATATTGTGTGAGAAAAGGGAAATATAATCATAATTTTTCTAGAGAAAAAGATCTCTGAGCTTATCCAAAAATGGAATACAATTTCAAGGTCAAGTAATTATGAAAATAAAATCAAATAAGTGTGTAACAATATATACCTTCACGTTTACGAGCTTCCTCCTCTTCACGCAGCTTTCTTATTCTCTCCTCTTCAGACCTCACATAGAATATTTTCTTTCTCTTGATCTCTCTTTCTTGCTTCCGTGCCAGAATGATTTGTTTGATTCTCTCCTCCCTCTCTACTCTTCGTTGGTCAAACTCAGCTTGCCGACGACTCATTACTCTTTCCTGGAATATCAACTGTGGAAAAGCAGAAACCAAGTTTGTCTATGTTAAATGGCTAACACCTAGGAAGAGAAGACGTAGGAAGCAGCAAGAAAATCATCTCTGGCAAGAGAAGCTCTCTCATGAGCACAAAGCCACAAATAAAAAAGGTACTGACCTTGTTTTCTAACATGCGGGCCAGCCTATTCTTCTCTTTCAAGTCCCCATCATGGCGCTGTCTGCTCAACTCGACTTCCAGCTACAAGGGAAAAACAGGATTACATATGGTATTTATAAAAAGGTTGACAATGGCAAAAACCAACAAAAAACTTCTGTTAAACAAAGATAGTGCTCAGGCCAAAAAAACAAAGATAGTGCAACATAGAATGACTGTCCATCCCTTCGAGATATAGATATGCAAATGAAGTTAGAGCATCCATTGAGGCAGACTTAAAACACATCAGAGTATTTGATATGTTTATAGAACATAAGAGTAAATATGTTTCAAGACCTTGAAAGGGAAGCATTGGAAACAAGTTATGTCTTCAATTAAAAAAACAGGAGCAATAACAAAATAGGTAATTAAAAATCCACCTGTTGCTCACGTTCATGAAGCACCGTTTCTTCTACCAATCGTCGTTCAAAAGCAGATTCAATCAAGGGCGCTGCTTCCTCTCTCTTTGCCCTTTCCAGATGATCCATTGTTTTGGCAACTTTTTGTAGTCTCTTCTCCTGTTCCTGCCTCTCCTTGAGCTGCTCACTCATCGCCCGCTCAATCAAGGTTTCCTTTGTCAATTTCTCCTGGACACACATGCATAGTCAAAAAGCAACTTCCATATGAATCAGAAACTGAATGAACAAAAAAAATGGCTGCTCACCCCATCTAAAATTGGCTTCTTTTTCCCTCGTTTTAAATGCTTTTCAGTTTCCTGTAGTAATGCCTGTGCCTCTTCAAGCTCTCGCTCCTCTATTTCCTTACGAATTCTTTCAGCTCGCTGTTGCTCAAACACAGCAGCAAGCCTCTTTTTTTCAGCTTCTTCAGTTTTCTTCTGCAGCATCTGCCTCTTTGACTCCTCCTCACGTTCCTAGAGGATCAAAACACACAAAAAGCAGGGGTATCAGTATATGATTTCATGTCCAATATTTAGCTAAATGATGAATCTCATGTTGTCTATGAAACTAGCCATTTAAATGGGGATACCAGTTCCAATAGTTGACGTTCTTGTTCTTCCTTTCTTTTCTCGATGATTGATTTCCGTGCTAGAAGCCTTTTGTGTTCCTTATCAACGATCTCCCCTAAACCCGGTAAAACTTCACTCAGCTTTGATGCTTTCTTGGTAGAGGGGTATATCATGGCACTTGCTTTATTCAAAGATTCAGCAAGAAGAGTCAGGTGATCACGAAGCTTGTCAGATTCAAGACCCTGAAAATGTTCAAATAATGGAAATAAATAAATGTATCCTCTGCTATGCAGCCACGTTTAAAAAATATGAACAAAGTACATAAATCCTAGCAATATCCTCAAAGAAATAAGCATAAACAGAAAAATCCTAACTTACCATATTACCAAACAGTACAACACCCTTCATGTGGTCAAATTTCATGGCTATAAAACTATGTTTCACAGCATCAACGGAAATCTTTTCCACCACAGAAAAATCAAAAAAGGGGATAATCTGAGACAAACTCTCAATTTTCATTGTCTGGTAAACCTGGGACACCTGAAGAAGCAAGGAAGAAGGACATTGAGAGAATCAAGCATAAATAAACAAAAGGGGCATAAAGCAACTAAAAGTAACATCGAAAAGAAAATAAACACAAGAGCACACCTGCTTAAGCAACCTGAGGGTGGCAAGCTTTTCAAGGGCAGGACCATATTGAGAGAGTTGAACTTCTGGTACAGATGAAGCTGAAGCCAGCTTCCCACCAAGTTTTGATATTTTCATCAACAATGGCTGTATCTTCGAAACAACATCCAGAGGGAGAAACTCAAGTTCTAAAAGATGGTAAAGATCTTTCACTTCTTGAGTCGCACAACTAAGTACACCTTTTGAGACCTAAATAAAAGGGGAATAAAAACAGATAGTTTAGTCAGCAACCTACAGACAAAAAAAATTTCTAGTTACATAAACATAGAACTAGTACTCCTTCAATATCCCATAAGACTTTGAGAGAGAGAGAGGGAAAGACTCAATCAAGCCTAAGTTACAAAACAGGACAGACTTATTTCTTTGTGTTAAAGAACATAGAAAAGAAAGACCAAGTCACTTCATGAATAGAAAGATTATGGAACTCTTAAGAGATATAAGTACAGAACAGATTTTTAAGGCTATAATAACCTAGAAATAAAGTTAGACCTATATAGCATTTGATTGTTTTGCCTTAACCAAATGGAATAGAGAAATTATGTCATGCAGCCAGACCCAACCAGTTTCAGATTAAAAGGCTTAGTTGGGTTCAATTATAAATTGATTTGAGAAACATCATCGTTAAGACATATAAGAAACCAGCATTGACAACGTTACCATCCATGCCTTTTAAAAAAACCTCTTGAACAATCGAAACTTTGAACATTCATCAGAAACAAGCTACCAAATCAGTAAAAGTAATAGATAGAAAAAAGAAGAAGAAGAAGAAGAAGAAACAAACCAAAAGGGCTTATAAAATTTAAACATACCAGTTCTGTGAGAAGTGATGACCTTGAAAACTGTAAGAAGTGCAGAATGTCAGAATAGGCTAACATCAAGAAAAAGGAAATTAACAAATGAAATTCAATACAACATACCACATCTCTGTTCTCAAGTTTAGGCTCAAGATTAAATCCTATAAGATTTGCCATTCGAAGGTTGCGTTCTTTCTCATTTTCAAGTTCCAAGTGTGATGCACCATGTGTTTGATCATAAGGAGCGACTGACAGTGCAGCTAAAACGACTGACGATGCTATCAACTGCAAATCCTTCTGGCTTAAGTTTTTATTAAAACTTTTTTGTAGTGTAAATAGCTTGAACCATGCATAAGCATGATAAAGATGGCTGCCTGAAATCCAGAATATTTCAGTTAACTTAGCATAATAAACCACCATCAAGGAAGCCTTGGGAGTTTTCTTGACAATGGACATCAATCCATGAATATCTTCAACAGAACGAAAAGCTTCCTGCAAGGAAACGTGACAAGCAATGATCAGAAGCATGTAAGATCTATCTATAGAAAACACATCTATTAAGAACACACAGAAGGTAGGCGAAGCAAACAAGAGACCTGCCAAAGTCCAAGTTCAGTAGCAATCTTTAGCTGCTCAAATCTAGTATCCAGATAAAGTTGCAAGCTCTCTGGTGCCGACAGGTCAGGTCGGTCCCTCTGGTCTTTATATTTATTTAGATTTGCTAAATGATTCCTTATAATCTCACACAACCTTCGAAACTCAGTAGTCCGTTTATACTGCTTGCAGAACTGGAACGCTCGATGTGCTGTCATCTACAGGATATTTAAAAAATAAAAAGATTCTGTAATTTCAATCAATATATTAACCAGTTACTATTATCATGGAAATAAGACATTCCCAACTGCAAGTAAACACAAAATAAGGGACATTATTCCATTATTTGTCCACTGTAAGGGCATGTAGGTCAAGCCGCCAAGACCAGAATTAATTTTTGTTGGCCATATTCTCTTTTTTCCCATCAACCTGATGAAGTCTTTGCAATTCATCTAATAATGAAATAAGTACTTTACTCCTCAAAATATCCTTTCAAGCTTAAAGATTCTAATACAAAAATAACAAACCATCGATTCTAAATGCTAAATCAATTAACAGTTCCACTCATCTCCCAATGAAAGTTTATGAACAAATTCAGATAAACCATAAATGAACCTACTGTAAAGCAGTGAACGGTTATTTCCTCAAATCTGAAAAAATAGTATGCAAGAACCTAGTGGCCCTTCTATCATAATGCTGAAAACAAATTTGTTTAATTTCATTTAGTAATCAAAAGTTGAAGATTTATAGGTATAATTATAAAAAATTGCTCAACATTTATGAAAAGTCATTAAGAAAGGAAATACCGCATAGAGCGCCTCTAACTTGGAATTGTTCCGCAATATTTCAAGCACTGTTCTGTAGGTCTCCCAAAGAAACTTGAACCAAGGAGTAACAAGTTCACGATCAGACCTATCCTTTCCTTTCTCTCCACTGACGTAACTTAGCATCAAATCTTCTGGCCTTTTATCAGCTTCAAGGTCATCAACATCAAGAGCTTCTTCTAGGGCTTGTGCCTGATTACGAGCCTGCTCAGCTTTCTCAGTAGAAAGATGCATGAAGTGCTTGATAACCTCCTCCAAAGAACTAACATTCACTTGCTGACATACAATACGGTATTGAATCAGACCATCCTTAGCAAACCGACCCTTCCGCATATCAACGCACAGCTCTACATATTTAAACATTATCCTTTCAAGTGGCTTTTGCCAAGCTCTGTATCTCTTTGAAGTTATTAGATTGTGAAGCGCCTGCAAGGCATCTTGCTTCTGCCCCACATTAATCAACTCTGCACCAACCCCATCACAAAGTCAACACAAACACATATATCATAAAAAATCAAAGAGTTAATCACAACCCAGATTCACATTAACAGCAAACAATTATTATAATACCACACAAGGGTAGCATACGTTTACAAAAAGCAATTAGCAAAAGCAACAAACAAACAGAGCCTAATAAAGGAAAATCTTTGTTTCTAACCTTCTGCTCGCTTCAAGGCATTCTCTGGTTTCGCGAAATTTGCCATCTTTTTCAATCAAATTCTTAACACTGCCCTCGATTGCCTAAAACAAACAAGGCCAATTTTGTATTAATCAAATAGCTAAAAACCCTAATTATCTTCAAGCTAGGAGTGAAATCGAATCCAATTACAAGTTACCAAGCAAAAAAAAAAAAAAAAAAACTAAAATTACGATCTGAAACAGTGTAAAAACCCTATTTATATTCATGAAATTCACCATTGATAAATTAAAACCCTAAATCTACAAAAACAGATCAAAAACTTAAAATCATTTAAATCTGTTACACCGATTTCTTTCTTTTTATGAATTTCCATCTAGAAATTGCAATAATAAAAACAAATAAAAAAATCCGATCAAAATACTAAAAATAAATATGAGATTGAATTTTTGAGAAACTCGCCAGAGAAGCGTTAAGAACGGCCGCGAGCAATGAGAAAGAATTCCAAGACGAAAGAGTGCCTTCTGAAGCTTCAGGCAAGAAAGAAGATAATAAATAATAAAAATAGGACCGGTTTGGGTTTGGGTTTTTTTTATCAGGCGTTTCTGTTCCTAAGCCCAATTTGAAACGGCTTCTAAAAAATTCCGGCCCGGTTTGAAATGAGCCTGGCCTAATGCGTATGAAAATTAGACTTCGTTACAATTTTTTTGATCCATAGGATTGTAAAAATAACACATTGTTTTGTTCTTAAATTAAAATTTACATTTAAAATTTTCAAGATTTTAATAAGTTTTAATTTCGAAAAATAAAGAACTAAAAGATGAATTCTCAAGTAATATGGTGGTAAAAAAAATATTTTTTTCAAAAAATAATGAATAGGAATGAAGTGAAATAAAAGTAACAACTTTTGCCATCACATTCATTTATTTCCTTATTTCCTTGAGATATATTAAACTTTGAATGAGTCTATTCCTATGATTCACAAGCTTAGTAAAAGTGTTCATAAGTCGGGTCGATTTATATTTGTTATTAATAGTTTATAAGTTTGTTTAAACTCGATCCGATTCAATATTTTAGATTTTAAAAATTTTTTAAGCTCGATTTAAATTAAAAAAAATCTCAAATCTATTAATTAAATTTAATTTATATAATAAAAATTTTAAAATTATTTTTTAAAAAATAAAATATAAAAATAAAAATTTACATATATATCTATATAATTATAATATTTTCATTGTATATATTTTTTATTTAGGTCGAATTGAACCAAGTTTAGACTTTTATTTTTTTTATCTAAAATCTACTTTGAAATTTAACATATGTTAAAATTACGTGCAAACTTATTTAGCGAATTTTAAGTTTTTTGTCTAAACTTTCTTATAAATTTAGATGAATTTTTGAATTTAAATGGATAACCCAGCTAAACTTAATTCCAAGTTCCATGTAAAGTGATAATAACTAAAAGAACCAAAAAAAACATTAACCACAATATAATATAATGATGTATGTAAAACCTAAAATGTAAATTCAATGCTTTGATATAATATAGCTAATAAGAGAACATATCATTTTAGTTCCATACATGGCAGAAATTAGAGGATATAGCATTGGGAAAGAAAATATATTATCTTTCTTTGCATGGTTGATAAAAGATTGACTTTCCATATAAACAAAAAATTATCAGATAGGTGTGAATTTTAGAGATATGCATTATTATTTACCTTTTCGTTTACTGATTTATCTTTCCAATCTTTATCCAAAAAACGTGATGTGCAGTTACATAGGGAAGAAACTCTTCTAGAGTCGTCATGTTTCCTTTCTCTTTCCCACTTCTCATTCAACTCAAATTCTTTCTAGTTACTGCTTAAATTGAAACCCCAAAAATAATACCATGGTTGTTGATCATCTCACTTGATACCCAAGATGACAGGGAAAATTCATGACAAGAATGGGGTTTTCGTTCCACCAAACTCACATTTCACATATGTTCTCAGCATCACCCTCCCTCAACCAACGATAAGAATCAGGATTCCCAGGGCGTTGGTTAAGGCTATGCAGAGAAGAAATCAAGCCCGGAGTGAAAATGATGAAAATGGTGGCAAGAACAAGGTGAAACATCGGGCTACATCTAAGAAGAGTTTCAGGAAGAAGGTTGGGTCTATGTTTTCCAATGTTTTTGGTAAGAAGAATTCACCAGGGACAGACCCCAAGGATGACAATGGCGAGGTTCATAGCAATGTAGATGGTGAGGAAATGAAGAAGTTGAAGAATATGATTGAAAGTGTTGACATGGGATCGGAGAAAATGACAGGAAAAAGCAGTGAAGAGTACAATTTGAATGATGAAGTGGAACAAATAGCTTCAGCAACAGGATTTGGAGCGTCCAAGAAGGGAATGCAGGAGGCTGGAGATGAAGGAAAGGAGAAACCGATAGTCAAGGAAATGGTTGAGGCTGGAAATGAAAGAAAAGAGAGACCGAAATCAAGGCGCACATTCTCAAAGTCAAGAACCTTGAGCAAAATGAATGACCTGGAACTCAACAAAGCAAAAATCAACAATGTTGATGATATTATTGTTATTGGTAACACTGATTTAACTGTTGCTTGTGTAGGTAACAAAGGTGCAAATACCCTCAGAACAAAGGCGATTGTTTCCCTGAAACAGGCAGAAAATTCCAATGACTTGACCAGGTTTCGATCGAAAACACTGAACAGCAATCGGAAGGTTAAGACTGCTTGGTCCATGAAGAAGATGACAGGTGGGCTCGTGGGAGAAAAATCAGACAAACAAGAGCTTTGCAAGAAGAGGATTATAATGGGAGGAAGGTGCAGGCCTCTGAATCATTCTGGCATAATTCAATATGATGAGAATGGTGTTTTGATCCCAGAGATTATCCCTTGAAGTTGATGATGGTAAGATTGTAAAAGAGCATATATTACTGCCCTCTTTAGGAGTTGATGATGATAGTCTGTTCTCTTGTTTAGATTTGGTTATTTACAAATTTCTAGTATGGAGATTGCAGGGGCACCAAACCTAGCTACCTAGCTATTTCAAATCTTTGTAAAAGACCAAAGTTTTATGAGTATCTCTTTTTCTTAAATGATTGAATTGTCCCCTCCCCCGCATGCATCCACCAATTATTGATGCCAAAGGGTCCTTTATTCCAATTGCAAGTTGGAACAAAGCATGAAGTCCCAACAGGTTTACCAATGAAATAAGCAAACTGCTAATTTACATTTGCGAAAAGAAATGAATCATATATTTGGATATATTAAAGAGAGAGATGCGAAAGTAATGATAGAAATTGATAAAAATTACAACTGAGTTTATTAGGAAAAAAATAATGTAGTGATTCCAAAAAAGAACACTCGAAGGGTTAAGTAAAAGTAAAACTAGAACAACTATTGATCAAGTAAGAGGATTATACAAGAATTGGGCATTCCTAATCATTTCTGCTTTACCTTTTGGTATGGAAAACTAAAAGTACGAACCTAATAATCTACATTTTATAAAATTACAGAGACACGTTTTAATTACTATAAACGCATCTCACCTTTGTAGCTGATCAGGTGTGTGATTGCTGGTGATAGATGACGATGTTGTCCTACCATTTAGCACACCGTTATCCGCCGGGGGATTCACTCCCCATTTCCCTTCAGACTCGAAGGGCTCAATCACTTTCACAGATCCATCGCTCAACCCAATTGCAAATTGGTTTGCCTCACTCGGATGTGCAGCCACAACAAGCGGGTATACAGTTTGGTTTCTGTAAAACAGTATCCTCGTTATGAAACGAAACTTAACAATTAAGGATGCCCAAAACCTACCAGTATGGTGGATAACAAAATGGTACAAGAAAAGCGAAACAAGACAGATTTAACGGTCTGGTCATAGTAGACGATGGTCCAGATAATACTAACATAAATTTAGAAGGCAACTACAGGTTCGATGCATTTGCATGGAATACAACAGATACCTTACCCTTTTAAGATTGCCTGGGACAAGTACACTGATGGAGCAATACGGCATCTAAGTCTCAGACCATCAGCATCAAACACCCCAACATTACCATCACAAAAGGTAGCATAAACAGATTGGCTATTACAGGAGTATGTAGCATAAGATATGGGTGCAGGCAGTACATCTTGTGGAATCCACTGCAGCAAATAATTGGCATTAGAATGTGTTCCCTCTGTCAAAAGCAATATTATATCATCAAAATCTATACCACTTTTTTACTTTCTTACCTGTTGAATGCGCTCTATCTTGGAGGCATCATATATTGCTAACTGTGTTTCATGAACCACTAGCATGAGAATTTGATCGGAGTGAAATTGTACTCGTGTGTCACCTGTAGGTGCCTTTCCAGCTGGAATTTGGATTGCAACTGATTTCCTTTTCTCCCACGTATCAATGCTCCACACACACAGCTGCACAGAACAGCAAGATGTTAATAAGTAATAATTACACTCTACATAAGACCTTTCCCTCATCCCTATTCCCTCTCCGTCAGTTAGTAATATGCATATCCAGTCGTAGGAGCATGACATTGTATTCATCAATAAACTGAAACAGTGTACGAAGTCCTTAGCCAGATGAAGCAAGAAAGTATGAACATGATAAAAATGAAAAAATTAAACCTAAGCAAACAGAGTAAAATGAAGAGATAGAAATGTGTAATGTATATCAGAGATTATGGAACCTGCGAAACACCAAGGATATTAAGTTGAAAAACCAACTAATGAAATCAGTTGTATCTTTTCTACATTTTTAGGATTACGTGAGCTTCTGTAGCATTTATACCCCATAGATCAGGTAAGAAAAATAATAAGGAAATATGAAAAGACTGAATACCACTTACATGAGCATCAGCACCTGATGAAACCAAGATATTGAGGCTGGTTGAAAAAGCCAAACCAGTTATTCGCTTTTTATGACCCTTCAATTTTGATTTCACCTTAAAAGTTTAAACAGATTACATCGAACCACTTAAGAGTGCAAGATAATAAAAGGGGAAGCAGAATAAACAAGCACACATCATAGGAAGTGTCACCTCATCTACTCGAACATTGTAAATATGGATAGTTGAATCCTCCATTCCAATTGCTAGGATATTATTATCCTGAGGATGGAATGCGAGGAAGGTTGAAGCTGGAGGAGGAGACATGAACGTCGTCATTACCTGCAAATTATGTGTTATTAGAATGCCAACATAAAGTACATTCAATACATGAGTACATGAAGGCATACCTTGAAAGTCATCGTGTTAAACAAAGAAACTATTCCACCAGTGGCTGACATTATGTATGAATCATTCTTTGAGAGTGCTATGCATGGTACCGCTTCTTCCAGGTTGACACCTGTGACGTCATTAGTCATAAGAAGACCACTGTTTGGTTGCCAATGCTGTGGAAGGACATTGGCAGTGGCCTTTAAAGTTTAAAAGGCTTCAGAGTTCTCCTGACCAATAAAAAGGAATTTATAGAAAAAATTTTGAGAGAAAGTCTTGTACCTTCCCAGATGGATTCTGTTCATTGCGGGGCCACTTCCATAGCTTCTGAACACCGTTTGAGCCAAGTGCCAAAATACCAACAGCAGAATTTGTATATAAAAGCCGAACAACCTTCAAAGAGATGAATTGATTCAGTGCTAAATGGTATGAAAACATGGTACAGCCCTGATTATTAGAAGAAAACTCACACACCTTGCTGGAGTTATCCATGTTGTCAGGTAAGGTAACTAACCGACATTGACCTGGATCCACAATTTCAGCCAACTGCCAGGGTTTAGTCTTGTCTATTGCATCGCCCACAACTCTTGGCTTTTCGACACTTCTACCCAAGGTATCAACTCCATTCTAGGGGGAAAATATCCAAAACAATAAAATCAATTGCAAGAAAAACATCATAAACATGAAAAACACTTGAAAAACCTATGGTCTATGTGATTTATAGACAGAAAGGCCACTTGGTTCCATTGAAAGCACAACATGTTCCTTATTGCATGAAAAGAAAAATGAAAGGAGCACCCATAAAATCGAAAAGAGTTGGCCCTTAAATCTAATCTTCTAATGTACTCGAGGTGATAACCAATAGCAAGAACAAAAAGTTCCTGTCTATAGGATGAACCATATTGTTACTGCATGCAAGCTCCAACTACCATATAATGTTCAGGAAAAAAGTTTGAACATGAAGCAAGGAACATCCAGCTAACATACAAGTATAGGAGAAGGCCTGACAGGAGAGCTCCTTTCCACTTTACAACCGACTGCAGAAGAGCCAGAAGCCTAACCAACAGAGAAAAAAGTGAAACCTGCGGGTCTCAAGACATAAATATTCTTAAGGAAACATCAAGTAAATCAAAACGATCATAACCTTAATTGCAGCAGAAACAATGGGTGTTCTCAATGGATCAAAAGATGAAGTTTCAATTGCTCTTAAAGATCTGAGACCCACAGAATTAGCAAGTATTTTGAATCCATTGTCTGCTGTTGTCACAGCAAGGAGATTTCCTTCCTTATTGAATCTCACACGGGGAAGACTCTGAAGCAATTAATTTGGTTAATTAGACACCCAAAGTAATAGCATATATGTTTCACAAAAGAGCTACAGATTTGAACATTTAACTTACAGGGAGTCCACCCTCAGCATCTGTAAAAGTTAAAAGATTGATATTATCCATGTCCCAAAACTTTATCTGGCTATCTTCTCCTGCAGCCAAAAATTGATTTTGTGTAGTGTCAAATGACACCACACCTGCTGATTTCTTTCTAAACCCCACATAAGTCCTCTTGATTGCTCCTTCACTTTCATTCCACTCAACCAGAAAAGATTCTCCATCATTACTTGTTCCACAAGAGAACAATCTGAAACAAAAGTAGAAATTACCAGAAGCTCAAAATTAGAATGAAATGAATTACTTGTAAAATTGAACAAAGAGTTAATTAAAGGCATTATGAGAAAAACTTTTTTTTTTTTTGGGGGGGGGGGGGGCAATGAATACAACTCAAAGTTTTTAAAAGTTAACTTCCCATCTAAAATTCATGATCATACCTACTTCCATCAGCACTGTAAAGCATTGTAGTACACCAGTGGCCTGGGGCATCATAGTCAACTCTGGAACCCATATTATCATAATACAGCCAGGCCTTAATTTTCCCATCAACAGCAGTTGAAAATATGAACTGCAGTGGTGTAGATAATTAGCAAATGAAAGTATAAATTCCCATCCAAACATCAAAAGTCAGGAAAGCATTCAATTCCCGGCAAAAAAAGAAAAACTAAGTATTCAACTGAACCAACAAAAGTATGAACTCCACAAAACACTCGCCTAAAATGTTAAAGAGAGTGAATCAAATATGGTGGACCACTATAGCACCAAAGGGAAGATCAATGGGGGTAAAGTTCTAACTGGGAGTACGGAAATGATTTTGATAAAGCAGGAAGCTCTTTGATGGATATTAAACTGGAATGGGAATCATAAATAACAGGTCGTTAGAGCACATTGCTATGTGAAATTTCATGCATTTAACAAGTTGGTTCTGACAGCATCTTTAGCAGCAGTTATTGGTTATAGTCACAGCCAAGACATCAATGAAGGCAAATGTCCATAGGGAATCAGCAAGAAATTATCGTGTTTCAATTTTTCATTGAATAGATTAAAATTAAAGAAAAAATAGAATTTTTGATAGAGCACGCCATGTGTTGTCTCCACTAGAGAGCTATAATGGAATAAAAAGAAAAGAGGAAAGACATATATAAATAGAAATGCTATATCTGCATATATAGCAGTTTTACAAAATTAAGGCATTGCCAATTGTTTCCTATCCTTAACTCTAAAATGTATATATAATCAACAACCAACATTTTTATATTGTACCTGAATGTTCTCTTTATGATGTGGGCAGATGGAATAAACTGGAGCATCATGACCTTCAAAATTAAACAGTTTTTGTCCCCTAATTGAATCCCACACCTGTTCCATTTCTTTCATTAGGATAACAAAAAAATCCAGTTTAATCAAAACTGTTTAGTGAAAATTTACTATCTTTCACCTTTATAAGCCTGTCATCTCCACAAGTAACAATGCAAAGTTGTTTGTTTGGATGAGCAAAAGCTAAGTCATTTACACCACCAACATGGGCATCAATCTGTTAAAAAAGAAAGGAAAATTCAA